ATAATCAGTTCTTCATTCCTATAACGGCCAAATAAGACTATCTTATGGCTTGGGTCTAGATGTCTCCACAAAGTCTCATTAGGTATGGCTTTTCAGAGGTGGCTAGATCTAGTGTGTGTGCTGGGATCAAGAGTGTGTGATTACACTGATTGGTTTGGCATAGTTCTGGGTGTGGATAATGGAAGGCCCACCTTGGGTGTGAGTGCCAGCTGCCCTAGGGGCATGTAGCCTGGATAGAATACAGTGGACCCTTGACTTACAAACTCAATTGTTTCCCGAGGGCTGGTTGTAACTCAAGTTGGTTGTAAATCAATACAGCTGAGATCTGGATGATTATCTGGGTACACACTAGAGGCCAACAAGAGGCAGATGAATCTTCCATTAACCTAATTAACTTGAGTTGTTTGTATGTCAGGCCAGTCGTAACTTGAGAGTCCACTGTATAAAGGACAGAAAGAGGGCTGCTGTTGTTGCTTGCTGCTTTGCTACTTTGAAGCTTGCTGCCTTGCTGCTTTCTGCCTGCCATGAACTGTTTCTCCTCTGCCCTACCACCCTGCCTTGGAACCCTATGAACTGAAACCTTTACAAACTGAGGCAAAATAAACCTTTCTTCCTTTAACTTTGAGTGTCAGGTATTTTGTCTCAGCAACAAGAAAAGTAAGACAGACTCCATTGTATGCATATACCAGTTTTGTTTCTCCATTTATCTGTTGATGAACATTTGGATTCTCTTTTTCTATTATGATAATGCTGCCGTGAAATTTGTGTACAAGTTTTTGTGACATATGTGTTCATTTTTCTTGAAAAAATTCCTGGGAGCAGAATTGTGTAGGTCATATAGTAGTTCCCTCTTTAAATACTTGAACAACTGCAATTGTTTTTAGCAGTAGATGTCCCACTTTACATTCCCACCAGTATTACACGACGGTTCCAGTTTTTCCACATCCTCTGTTTTTGTTTGACTATTGCCATCTTCAAGGGTTTTAAGCAGTATATTATTGTTTTTAACTTCTACTTCCTTTAATAACTAATGATGTTAAATATCTCTTTAGGTAAGGTTTTTTTTTGCGGGGGGGGGGGGTTTAAAAAAAAAAGTGAAGTGACTGGTTTCCTTGCCCAACATCTTTGATCATGTTTAGAAAGGTAGAAGTCAGATTTTACTTTGTGGAGTAGTGAGTGGGAAGGAAGTGAATGCTACTCTTTCAAGATGTAGAGTCTCAAGGGCATGCATATTGGGTTGGTTAGTACTGCAGACAGACTGGGTGCAACCTTCTGCCTTGAGGTGGGTGGGCGAAGTCATGCCCCTGGGCTGCCATTACTATGGCTGGCAACAAGGTCTTCCAAGATACACTGTGTAGTCTCTTTTGTATCTGTGGACTTGCTTAGCTCGAGGACCTGGCTGCTTCAAGCTTCTTAGCCTGAATGACCATTTTTTGATGACTGTTGGTGTGAGGCCTCTTCGTTCATCATGTCCATTACAGATGATTACCATTAAGTCCTTTTATGAGACTAAGATTCTGTGAGGATGGCCATCTTGGCTCTTCTTCATTATCCTCCTGTTACTGTGGGAGACGGGCATCTCCTGAATAATGCTTTTGAAAAGTCTTAAATTGTGTCTTAATAGAAATTGTAGAAAGGAATTCTAACGTGGTTCTCTTTGTGTGCTGCCCATGTGCTGATTCTGTTATTTTATACTCTACATTCCACTAGAGGAAAGAACATTCCTGGAAGCTCTATAGTCCCTTTAAATTGGGTCCCTTAAGTGCTCTGAACTACTTATGGCTAAGGATTTTCACTGCAAATTTGTACTCTCTGAGCTAGAATAATTTCATCTAGGCTGTTTCTTGGCTGTCTCTTTGCCCATAGTCCAGGTGACTATGACTTCCCCAAGGTGAAGGTTTAGAAGCCTTCTACCTTCTAAAAAGCCCTTGTTTGGTTCCAGCCCTTGGTCTTTTTGGGGCTTAAATTGTGCCTCTTTGTTAAGGTTCACTGAGGCGGTGAATTAGGACTTCCTGTCTGAAAGTAACTCCTGTCAGCATTTGGAGTTCTAACTTAAACTAGTTGAAGAAAATCAGCAGAAGATTGTCTTTCTTGGTGTAGCACCTCATTTACTTGCTCTGGGGAAAATCCCTTCAGCCTGGAATGACAAATGTGTGTGGGCTGTGAGAGAGGAAGTGCAGCCACTTCCTGAGGAAGTGCGGACAACACCCAGTTAGAGAGACAGCTTTCACGGTACCAGCACCCCACACCAGGAACTCCATCTTGCTCATGTTCAGTCCCCAGAGCCTGGGGGCCCTGAGTGTATGGTCTGTGTGTACTTGGGGAGCACGTGAAGCAGGGAAAGGGGGAATTTTCTGTTAACATTGCCCAGTATTCAGAAGGCAGAATAAAGTGCCATAGTGGCCTTATTTAGTCAATGCTTTATTGTGCCCCTGGGGTCAGTGTCTTTCTCTTAGAAGTTACAGAGAGATGGTTCCTGACTTAGGACTGTTCAGCTTGACATTTTCCAACTTGAAGATGGTGTGAAAGCACACCTATACAACTGCTTTTCACTTTCAGTGCAGTATTCAGTAAATTACATGAGTCAGTCAATACATTATTATAAATTAGGCTTTGTGTTAGATAATTTGGCCTAACTGTAGGCTGGTGGAAGTGTTCTGAGCATATTTTAGGTAGCCTATGCTAAGCTGTGATGTTAGATAGGTTAGGTGTATTAAATGCATTTTGCACTTACATTGTTTTCACCTTAATCTGAGGTTTATTAGAATGGAATCTGTAAGTCCCCATTTGGACTGGTAAACAATCTAAGGTAGACAGACATGTGTTTCAAGAATTCAGACCAGGAAGGGAGCACTGTAGGATAGAATAGTGGGTGATATGCTCTGAAGCAGATGGCTCTGGAGGTGGGGCTTGGAGAACAGGCTGGGTTTGGATTGTGTGTGTAGTGTGGAGGAGTGAGCCAGCCCAGTGAGAGGAGCAGGTTAAGTGAAGATGGAGAGCTGCCTGAAAGATGCTCAGGGTTTATGGAGATGAGTAGACACTGTCAGGTGTGTAGGATGCGGTGGAGCAGAGGAGCTCATGTTATATAGCAATGCAAGACACAGATTGAGCGTAATCATGTTGACATTGTGGTGGCAGTGTATGAGAATAGATGTGTGAACTTGGGGCCCAGCTGTCTGGATCAGGGGCTCAGGACCGAGTATGCATCAGAATCACCTGGAGGGCTCCTTAATGCACAGGTGCCCATCCCACCTCCAAGCCTGCCTCAGTAGGTCTTGGGTGGGGCCTATAGGAGTGATGGTGCTGATGTTGCTGAGTTAGGGACCACATCTGGACAGCCACTGGTTTAAAATTGAGAGGTTGGCAAACCTTTTCTGCAGGGGACCAGATGGTAAATATTTTAGCTGTTGTGGACTATATAGTATCTTCATTACATGTTCTTAGTTGCTTTCCTTTGAGGATGTGCGGAGCATTCTTGGCCTTACAGACAGGCTGGTGGGGAAGTGGAACGATGAGGGGAAGTTGGATGTGGTTTACTGACCTCTAAGCCATCCCGAGATTGTCAGACCTCTGCTACATAGCTGAATGACTTTTGTCAAGTAAATCTCCCTGTATTTTTATTTTCTCATCATTTTTTTTCCTCTTAAAATGGGGATAATAATATTAATACTTAAAACTTTTGGGGGAGTTGGTGAGCTAAGGTATAAAAGAGCATTTATCAGAGTATCTTGAACATAGTTTAACATTTACTGTTATTATTAGTAGAGGTACCAGCTGCTGATTGCTTTGTTATATAGGTGAGGGAAAGGCAGCGGAATGCTGACCATGAGAGATCTCTGCCACACTGCTCTCTTGAACGCTAATTGCTGCAAGAGTCTGACCCCTTTCCTCTTAGGCTGCTGGCAAAGCAACTTTTGAATTAAAACATGGACACTCTGAAATAAACTGAGTTAGACCCTGGCAAGATATCACCGCTCAGCCTCTCTCCCTCAAGTGGCACTGTTGCCAGCTGGTTGGATCCTGGGCCCAGGATTCTGGCTGGAGGGGCAGGTAATTGTACACACTGGTCACATGGACCCAGGCTGTGGGATTTCGTGCATTTTGACTTTTCATTTTGCCTCATGGTGGGAGTGAAAGTGAGAACCACAGAAAAGCAGACAGCTAGGTGCTTCATATTTCCTGTGATTCTTCAGTGTGCAAGTGGGCAGAAAGGGGCAGCTTTTGCTAGAGATAGCTAGAACGAGAGGCTGGGGGTGAACCTCAAGGGTGCAGTGTGTGTTTAGCATACTCCGGGGCTGGGTTCAATCCCCAGCACCAAAAACAAAACAAAACAAAACAGAAAGACCTTTGGTTATAACCTTAGCATTTCTCTGTGCTGGTGCACTGGGGGAGGCTACCTGGTGGCTCCTTAGAGAGTCATCCCATTTCTGAACACTGATGATGAAAGCTGGCTATGTGTAATTAGGATTTGGGGGACTTCTCCCCCTTCCTTGTCACCTGCCCCTGAGGGAGCATCCACTTTCTTGCTCACCTCTGCAGCTGCAGGCTCCAGTCCTTGCCCCAGGCACATAATAATGACTCAAGCTCAAGTTACAGAAGCAAGAAGGGCTCGTTGGTGGTGATGTGACTCCACCCTCCACTTGGGTTTTTGCTGACATGCAGTGAAATATCCTTCCATCTCCTCCCTACTTTGCAAAACAAGCTTCCTGTTTTGAACTTGGTCCAGATGGGAACAGCCGCACTACACCTGTTAATACACTCAGTCACACACTGCCCCCCCGCCCCGTGTTTGTACAGCTTCTTGTCACCTGGCCAGATTTCCTCTCTCAGCGTACAGATCCTGATTCATAACCTGGGAGTCTGAACCAGAAATTAAGGGAAAAAAAAGGAAGTTGATATTTGATGTAGAGTTATTCGGGTAAAATCACGGCCTCTAGTTTATTTTGCTGAATTTTGCCACAACTGAGCACTTTCCTAACTTTCTCCCTTCTTCTTTGCAGCATAATGGAAGCAAAGGAAGGAAATCAGCTGACACAGGAGCCTGAGTGAGACTTGCGCAGATGCAGCCTACACCATGAATTTGAGTTTACCTTCTAGGCGTTGAGAGGCAAGGGCAGGTGAAGTTGCTGGAGAGCAATGGCTCTCTTTACTCCCTGGAAGTTGTCTTCTCAGAAGCTGGGCTTTTTCCTGGTGACTTTTGGCTTCATTTGGGGGATGATGCTTCTGCATTTTACCATCCAGCAGCGAACTCAGCCTGAAAGCAGCTCCATGTTGCGGGAGCAGATCCTGGACCTCAGCAAAAGGTACATCAAGGCATTGGCAGAAGAAAACAGGAATGTAGTGGATGGGCCATATGCTGGTGTCATGACAGCTTATGGTAAGTGCTGCCTTTACATGGGGCTACCGTTTCTTTTTTTTGGTACCAGGGATCGAACTTGGGTCCTTGTGCCTGCACAGGCAGCGAAGCCACTGAGCTAAATCCCTGGCCCTGGGGCTACCTTTTCATTGAATGTGACTTAGCCTTGGCTTTGAAAGAACCCTGGGGGCTCCCAGGCTTGGCCTTGCCCTGGATTAAGTGTCCCTTACCCCTGCCTTCATGGGCAATGAATTGCACACAAAGGGACACTTTTGGAAAGGTAAACCAGTGTCCTGTGTGGGATTCTGAGATCTTGTACATACATACACTGCCCCAGGTATGATGATCAGGTTGGTTAGTGCTTTCTGGGTTGTATCTGCAGCTGCCTCTTCCTCCCTCAACACATTTTTAACTACGTGGCCTCATTTGTGAGTGTATTCAGGAAACGCTGGAAAACATTCTCATCTTTACCTAAATAAAACTTAATTAGGCCTGGGGAGGGGTGAGTGAGGAAGTGGGAGGAAATGTTTTTATGGTGATTAGTAAGTTTAGACCCCTTCAGCCTGGGCAGAGGGCATCAGAGCATATATGCCAGCTGGTAGTTTTGAACTTTGGCTTCTTGAGATTTGACTGCTCTCGTCTCCGGTTGCTCTCACTTTGAAAGAAACCTTTTTGTACTTGTTGCTTATTTTTATGTGCCCTAAATCTGTTTTGAAATGATGTCGAGTAAAACAAAAATATACATATGGAATATATCTTTTCTTTTAGCAAAATTTAGGCTTAATATAGAAAAAGTTGGAAACTATAGACAAAAAAGGAAGAAAAAATTCACACATAACTCTATTACTCTAGGCAATATCCGCAGTTAACATTTCAGTGTGTCTTTCTGATAGTTTATACATGTATATTCACAAATACTGTATGAAACAAAATAAAACAAAAATTGCAAATGAAATATGGATCATAATGTATTTTAGAGAATCCATGTCCCAGCTATATCCAGAGTAGACTTGATGTGTACAGGGCGACCCATTGTTATTCAAATTGGATCCAGAGCTTTGGTACTGAGCTACATGTCCGCCCCCTCCTTTTTATTTTGAGACCAGGTGTCACCAAGTTGCACAGACAGGGCTCAAACTTATGATCTTCTTGCCTTAGCCTCCCACGTAGATGGGATTTATAGGGATAGGTCACCACCTGGCTGTATAATAGCTGTTTATTAGATGATGTCTTCTTCTGAAGGACCTTATAGACATTACTTTTCACTGCTTACTATTTGAATGATCATGCTGTCTGCTTTTAATATTTTCCTTTGAAATTTGTCAGCATTTATAAGCATTGACTTTGAATATTCAGAGATAAAATGCCTCCTGTTTTGATGTGATAGATTAAAACAGACTCCATTTTGAGAGCTCACGTGGTGAAAAAACGAAGATAGTTTTTCAGAGGGTGCCTTTAAAAATTACTCATTGACTTACATCTTCTGTAACATTTCCAGAGTAGAAATAACCACCAAGAGAGGGGGAAAAAAAGAGTAAAGCAGACTCTCAACATTAGTATTGCCAGCATTCATGATGTAACAGGTGACGGATGCTGTGTTAAAGTTTCTGGTTCTGTGTATTCCTTGTAATACCTTTGGAGGGGAAAAAGACTAGCTCAGTAGTAATTCCCTTCTGTTTATTTCAGTCCACCCTTCTCCATGGACAGGAAGAAACCACATGAGTGGCCCATTTAAAGACTCTCATTTTTGCTAGTTGTTTTGGCTCTTTTTATTTCTTGTATACTGCTGAACATCTCAGAGAGAAGACTTCCTTTACATTCTAAAGGACAAAGATCTAATTTTAGCTTTTCAGACTCCCAGAGAGATTATTTTGTAAAATAGTAACCCAAAACCCCAGAGTAGCCTGTTAGAATTTCAACCACTTTGCAGGCTTGTAGCCAAGGGACTTTGCCTCTCAAAGAAACCACGGGAATTATTTATTCCACCTTGTTTCCTTTATAGATGACCTGTAGTACATCAATTCATCTTTCTTTTTTTTCTCAGATACAACAAACAGGCTTCATCAGCAAGTCTTAACTCATACTGCTGGCATTGTCTTTCATAACATCAACTTGATGTGTCAATGTGGTCTTTGGTGCTGGGTTTCTAGGATTTAATTGGACTGTGGATATGTGTCTGAGTTATTTGGGATCGTCATGTGGTGAGATCCCACAGAGACAGAGTTTCTCACCTAATAATATTTGACATTTTGGGGCTAGATAAGTCTTTGTCTTGGGAGATTGTTCATGCATGATGAGATTGCAGCACTAAGTGCCAGAAGCACTTCCCTAGCTTTGACAATCCAAAATAGCTCCACACAGGAGAGGATACCCCACCACCACCACCTTGGAGAAACATTGCATTAAGAAAAGCAACAAGAAACACTAACACCATCTTCTTAAGGATCTTCTAAAGCAGATAATTAGTTTTTATCATTTCAAATTTGACAGTCTGGCCTTCTTCCTAGTTCCCAGTTTTATCACCAGTGACTTGGCTTGAGCAAGAGAGATTTTTCGAGAGATCGGTGTAGTCCAAGGCTGGTCCTGGGAAACTGGCAAGCCAGTCTGATGACACGTGCTTCCATGATGTCCGTCAGTGTCAGTAACATCAACAGACAGGCAGGTCTGACAGTTAATGTCAGATAAGATGCAGGATCCTCAGTGGCGTAGCTGGGCTGCAGAGCAGTGATGAGGCTGCATGGGACTTTGGTTTGCAGTCCTCTCTTCTGCCACAGACAGCCCATATGCAGTGTACTGTCCAAATGTCTGCCCTGAAAGAGTAAAGAGTAGATCTTGCATAGCTGCAATCCATGTCTGGTTTGATCTTGTTAAGTGGCATCCCCCCCACACACCAAAGAAATCTCTTTGTCCCATCCCCATGTTGGTATAATCAGAAGCACTCACCCTGCTATAAATGAATCTCCAGTGTCTGTGACAGGTGTTTGAAGAGTTATCATTGCTGATTTTTAGATGATTGCTGATTGATTAAAATCCCTGGCTTGATATTCCTAAGCAGTAGAGTTCAGCAAAGTGTGCTCTATGCTGTTTATTTGTGTAAATAAAGTTTCACTGGAAAACAGCTGCTCTCATTTGTTTACAGCACATGCAATAACAGAGAAACACAATGCCAGTATTTGTTTCACAAGACATCTAAAACATTCTGAATCCATCATTCAGCCATCACCATAGGGCATTCTTCATACTATCTGCTCATGCTCCTAACTAACCCAACAATTTCTTGGGATTCCAGCGATCTAAGCTAGAGTCAGCCAACTATGGCCTTTGGGCAGAATCTTCCTTGATAGCTTTTTTTTTTTTTTTGGTAAAAACAAAAACCAATTGGTCATGGAGACTGCAAAACCTAATGTACTTACTATCTTGTCCTTTACCAAAAACATTTTTCATTTCTTGACTTAGTTTCTCAGTGTGTCTTTCTACCTATCAGTTTTTCCTTAGTGTTCCAAGTCTCCTTTATCTTTGTGAGTTGGACATCCAAATACCAAATACAGCATTTCTTTATCCTGTGGAAATACTGCTCCTTAGTGACAGGGTAAGAATTGGAGTGGTACGTGTGTGTGTGTAAGTTTTGGATCCACATCCTATCTGCATGGCCAGGGCCTCTAAAGGCACACACTTTTTTTTTTTGGTGGTGGTATTTGGTTTGAACTCAGGGCCTTCACAGTGAGGTATAACCCCGACTTTGTTTTTTATTTTGAGCCAGGGTCTTACTAAGTCACCCAGGCTGGGCTTGAATTTGCAGTCTTCCTACTTCAGGACACCCAGAGTGCTGGGATTATAGGCATTGTCACCATCCTCGCTCCTGACTATTTATAGGGTGTCAGTTCCTCTCTCACCAAGGACTGGAGCTTGAATGAGGTGCTACCTTTTAGATGTTTAGATGTACTTGCTGTGGGCTGTTAATTGAAAAGTGCTCAAAGAATAATACACGTGGCCCCCAGTTTACAATTGTTCTACTTTATGATGTTGCAGAAGTATATGCTTTTCACTTTAAGTGCAGTATTGAGAAAACTAATGAGGTATTCTACACTTTATTATAAAATAGCCTTCATCAGATGATTTTGCCTAGCTGTAGATTAATACAAGTCTTTTGAACAATTTGAGGTAGGTGAAGCTGAGCCATTCAGTAGCTTAGGTGTATTAAATGCATTTCTGAGTTAGGATGTTTTCAACTTCGGTGGGTATATCTGGATCAAACCCCACAGTAAGTCAACAAGCATCTGTAGAGGAAACTTTGAAAGAGTATCTTGCCACTACCACCACTGTTCCTTGTTTTGGAGACTTCGGAATTCTTCTGGGACTGGGAATTCAAAAGTGCTGCCTGGAAGGTTCCCAATTAGGCAACATGCTGGAGCAACAGTCAGACCATTCATTCTTGGGTGCAGAAGGGATTTCTGTGTGTTTCTCTGTCCATCTGGAGAGGCTGTGTTGACTTTTGCCTCCCAACCACATGGAAGGCCAGAGCTCTCAGCAGGTCAGCATCACCAGGCTCTCCCTGGCCAGCATGGCAGGCACCATGCCCATCAGTGACATTGTAGGAATTGTGTCAAGAATGGTGCCACTCGCCCCATCAATGGCGTTCTTATTTCTGAGGTGAATTGATCTCTGTCTTCAATGTCCCAACCCAAATTGTGATCCCTAGAGATCACCTCTAATTTAACAGGGCAGGCCTGGTCCTCTTCTATTCCCAAGGGATAGTAAAGGAAACCTGAGGCCAGGTGAGATTCCCCTGGGAGTCCGTCATCCACACCTCACTCACCCTGATATGTCTCACATACTTGCCTCTTTGAGCCCTAGGACCTTTTTTCTTGGGAAGGTCACAAGCCTAGGCTAACACAACTATAGATGCTCAGCTACTCCCACCCTGGATTCTGCTGGCTGAGTGCCCGGCTTCTCCTTGCCTTCCAGGTGCTGTGGCCTGCTCTTTCTTACCTTCTGCCCGTGTCCAGGTTCCCCATGTTTCA